AAAATAAAATAGAAGAGGAAAGAAGAAAGGGAAAGGAGGGAAGGATGGGAGGAAATACTGATCTGCGGGTGCCTCATTCCCGTGCAGCTCAACAGATGCTTACTGATTGCCAGGCATCTGAGAACTGCCTCTGGCTTATTGTCTAGCTGGGAAGAAGGAACCAGTTTTGCCTCCTGGGCCCATTAAGAATTACGACTAGCTTATTATTTGGTCGGGGATCTTGTATCCAAGTCAATGAATAGTTAATTTAATGTCCAACAAGTAGGGTTTTCTATGCTGGCTGGAAAGTTAATTCCCAGGTCATCCATGCATTATGCATAGATTGCCTTGGCCTGATTCTTTGGCACCGAAGCCCATCCCAAGAAGATCAGGAAAGGCAAGGGAGTGTGAGAGACAGAAATGGAGGTCAGGGACCCTGTTTAGAGCAGCTCTCTTGAACTGCAGGCATGAGGAGTCTCTAGGCCAAAGGGGGTCAGCTCTTAGTTTGGCTTTCCAGCAGGCTGAGGATGCTACAGTCTGTCGCCCACTGCTCTGAGCTCAGAAGTAATCAATCCCTCTTGCCTCCTGCAAGACAGGGCATCTCAGGTTTTCAAGATTATACATCACTTGAGTTGGTTCAGGTATTTTGGAAAACAGTTAAAATTTTCTTAGAAAGTTAAATATGTGTTGGCACATGACCCAGCCATCCCATCTCTAGATATTTACCTAGCATCTGTCCACACAAAGCCTGGTGCTTTACTGTAATAGCCCCGAACAAAAATAACCCAAGAGAACTCACAGTTGCATGGATTAACTGCCAGTGGTACATCCAAGTCATGGAGTCTACTCCCTCACAAGAGCAACTGAGCTCCTGGTATAAATAAAAGCATGGCTGAATCTTAAAATTGTGGTATTCTGTGAAAAAGTCCAACAGACAATTCTGAGCCATTTCATGAAATTTAGGAAAAAGTGAAACCATAATGATGGCAGGCAGATGTTGTGGCACTAGATGTAAAGTATGGTAAAGACAGGAGGGCCAGGGTTCAAGGTCGTCCTTGGCTGCAGAGCAAGTCTGAGGTTTTCAGCAAAACAACCTAAAATAAATAAATACTGGCTGTAGTTGGCATTGGAGAGGACTAAGAAACTTAGCTCAAGGAAAAGCCTATCTATGCTCTAATAACCCCTAAGGGCTCCTCTACAGATTCCTCGATTTCTAGACACTGAAACTAATACTCTTTTGGTGTACCGGAATCGTGTCCCCAGAAAGTCACAGGCAAGATCCTGAAGATGCATGCCCCTCAGTGCCCAGGAGTTGGCACTCACTTTACCCTCCACAGCATACTTCCATGAAACTTAAGAGCTAAAGGAGATAGTGTTCTTCAAGGGGGCTGATGGGATGGGAAAGAACAGGCCCATGAGTAATCAGATGTAGGATTCTGGGCTGTGTTCATCCAGGAAAGCCTGCCCCAGCAGCTTGTACTCCTCCCCTGGGGATGGGGGACGGGGGTGGGGGGGTGAGGTGGGGAGGGCGATGGTCCTTCAGGCAGAATGCCGATTTGTTGGTATTTAAGTAACTGGAGGATTAAATGGGTCACAGGCTCCCCTCTCTGTAGAGCCCCCCCAGGGTTATTAAATTCATGATCACATCTGGGTACTGCAAACCCCTCCCTCTGCTGCCCAGCAGCATTGCAAAGCCACAGAGAGGGCGAGAGATTGGGGTCAGAGTGGGAAGGTTACACCGGTCAGTCTGCAGATCAGATTCCTGGGAATTAAGCCTAGGACCCAGTTTCGGTGTTGCCATTGGCTGACCTTGAACATGTCACTTCAGCTCAGGATGTTGGTTTTCTGTGCTCCCAAATCAGGACATCTCCTGCTCTGGTTATGACATAGGCAAGATAAAAGAGATAAAAATAAAATAAAAAATAAAAACCACTGAAGGGGGGCTAGGGATGGAGTTGCCTAGCTTTAGAGAGTCTTGAAACTGAGCAAAGTGAATAGCACTCAGGGGGTGGAGACAAGAGCATCAAAAGTTTAAGGTCATCCTTAGCTATATAGTAAGTTTGAGACTACCCTGATTTACATAAGACCCTATTTTTTTTAAAGGATAGTAAGGAAATAAGATAAAGAAAAATAAAAGAAGGCATTGAAACAAATGTACCACCCAGTAGAGTTGGCGTAGCAACAAGCTAGGTGTGACCTGTGGGCTGAGGGAGAATGACCTTGGGGCAGACAGCCCCCAGCCTTCCATGGTCAAACAGTCCATGCAGGTCTGACCAAAGTGGGGAAGAATAATCTCAATAAAACTCTTGGGCAGGGGGAAGGAGGGGGAAGCTCTTCCACCCGATACCATAGAAGAGGCCCTCAGAACGGAGAGACATTGATACCAACAGCCAGCCCAGGAGCTGGGCAGACAAGTCAGTCAGTGAGGTGGTGCTGCACAAGCATAAGGACCCGAGTTCGAATCCCGCCTTCATTTGAAGAGCCAGGTGTACCGGGCACATTGTTACCTACGGCTGGAACACGGAGACAGGTAGATCCCTGATGCTCATTGGCCAGCCAGCCAGTCTAGCCAAATTGATAAGCTCCAGGCTCAGTGAGATACCCAGTCTCCAAAAATAAGAGACAGAGCAACTGAGATAGCCAATGAAGACCTCTGGCTTCCATATGCACCTGCCTGTACGCATGCACATTCTCCAAGATCACACACACACACACACACACACACACACACACACACACACACACGCTCCCCAACAAAACCAGCCCAACAGTGTCAGATGGTCTGCAAGGGGCTCGTGTTTTTTTTATTCCGCCATACCCTAATGCTGTAGACGAAATAGCTTTTCCCTTGCTACAGATGAGTAAACTGAGGCCAGGAGGGGCTGAGCAATTTATCCCAGCAATTGCTAGACTGGAACTCAAGCAGTATACCCTGCAGGTACTTCTTCTGTTTGGCGTCTGGTCTCTTTTCTCACTGGGACGTTGTCTCCTTAGGTTCTGGATGCCATCTGTGTTCCCTCGACTCAAGTCCGTCTGCCAGGCTCCGACGTGTTGCCTGAGCTTCAGATCCGTGGGTCCAACAGCACCCTGACCCTTCATGTATCCAAAGATGACACCTCATTTACCCTGTACCTGCTCCAACCCACTTCCAAGGAAAGACTGACCCCGCCCTCGCCCCACTTAGACACAGAACCTGTCTCATCTAAACTCCTCTCTCCCTTTACAGCCATGCATTCAGCCAGAGAGGATACCTCCCACATCACTGCTCATGCCCCACCTCCCTCCATTACTATTACTGTTACAGTCCAGAACCCTCATCAGAACTCGGTACCCTGCAGGCTGCACCTCCTCCATCTCCATCTTCTGCCTCTTCTCACCCACCTGGACTTTGTGGATGGGCTATGTCTAAAACGCAAATATATGCCAGTCTCCTGCCAGTACCCTCAGCTGCTTCCCGTGGCTCTCCGAGATGGAGGGGGTCTGATCTAAACCTGTCCCTTCTCCACCTCAGCCCCTGTCACTCATTTCCCTGCCCAATGTGACTCTCACAGGGCTTTCCATTCCTCCAGAAACCAGCCAGTCTCTGGACAGGGATGTAGGGGGGGTCAGGGGTTATGAGGCTAGGTGAGGTGGGTGGGTGGGGCATTCTGGCTAGTCTCTCTGCCTGGAGCTCTTTCCCACCTCTAGTTCACACCTCTCTGTCAGCTCAGAGGTTCAAAGGCAAAGCTAAGATCTCCTTCTTGTGCTTCCATGGTTCCACGTCCGCAAACTGCTGGGTACTTCCTCCATTGCTATCACTGACTACATACAGGAGCACTTCTGAACAGGGCTCACGGGTTCCTCCTTGCACAGAACTCACAGCAAAGCTGTTAACACATGTGAATGAGGGAGGAGTGTGGCTCTTTCCCCAAGCCGTGCCCAGTGACAGAGCCAGGACTGGATTCTGGACCATCCTCACTGCACCCCCATTTAGCCCAACTAAGAGAAAATTCACTGCTTTTGGGGGCCCTACCCTCTTCACCCACCAAAGACAGAGTTGATAGTTTATTGAGCAGTCTTTAATGCGAGGAAGGAGGGTTCTCAGCACAGCTTGAAGGACTCAAAAGACCCCAGGCCTTCTGATCACTCTTGGGTCCCCAGTACACCTCTGTCCATCACCCTCAGTCAGGCTAAGGCAAGGCTTCCTTCCAGCAGAAAAGCAGAGGACCCAGAAAACACACACACACACACACACACACACACACACACACACACACACACACACACACCCAGGCACCAGGTGATCTCACATGTGTACATGTGTGCAGGTCCAGCTCAGACCCAAGAGACTGCCAGGACATAGGTTAGGCCCCGCCTTCTCAAGTGGAGATTGCCCTCCCCACTACGTTCTCCCTCCTCTTTTCCTGCGTCCTCCTTCCTCTCTCCACCTCCTTCGGTGTTGTTTCGTCCCCCAGCCCCCTGCACCGCCCCGTCCCACACATCCCTCACCAGCCTCCTCTCCCTTCCTCACCTAAGTCCCTCCCCATCCTCCGCCCTCCCCTTGCTCCCTCCTCCAGCCCCTCCCCTTGCTCCCTCCTCCAGCCCCTCCCCTTGCTCCCTCCTCCCGCTTTCCCCTCCCTCCCCCAGCCCCTCCCCTTTCTCCCTCCTCCCTCTTCCCCCTCCCTCCCCCAGCCCCTCCCCTTTCTCCCTCCTCCCTCTTCCCCCTCCCTCCCCCAGCCCCTCCCTTTGCTCTCTCCTCCCTCTTCCCCCTCCCTCCTCCAGCCCCTCCCCTTTCTCTCTCCTCCCGCTTTCCCCTCCCTCCTCCAGGCCCTCCTCTTGCTCCCTCCTCCCGCTGCTCCCTCCTCCCGCTTCCCCCTCCCTCCTCCAGCCCCTCCCTTTTCTCCCTCCTCCCGCTGCCCCCTCCCTCCTCCAGCCCCTCCCCTTTCTCTCTCCTCCGCTTTCCCCTCCCTCCCCCAGCCCCTCCCCTTTCTCTCTCCTCCCGCTTTCCCCTCCCTCCTCCAGGCCCTCCTCTTGCTCCCTCCTCCCGCTGCTCCCTCCTCCCGCTTCCCCCTCCCTCCTCCAGCTCCTCCCCGCCCCGGGGCCCCGCGCTCGCCTCTGGCCGGGCCTTCCCCGCGCCGCCCGCGCAGTCGTCTCTGCTCCAGGAAGGCGATGCCGAGCCGGGTGGCCATGGAGGCGGCGGCGCGGAGGCGGCAGCTCCCGGGAGCGGCGGGCGGCCCCGGCGGCGCGTTCGTGCAGGCCAGGTGCGGGCGGAGCGGGGACGGGAAGGCCGTGCGGGGCCCCAGAGTTTGAGAGACCTCGCCGGGGTCGGAGGAACCGCAGGGGCCGGCTGCTCGGAGGTCACCCCGGCCAGCCCTGCTGAGTCCCCGCGCCTCTTGCAAGTTTGCGGAAGCCTCCTTCTCTGGGCAGGACTGTGACTCAGGAGGCTCGGGGGCCCAGGAAAGTGAGCCGGTAACCGGGGACCGCGGGAAGTGGCACGCTCCCATTCTGAATGAGGGGGAGATGTTTGGGGTTTAGCCGGCTGGGCGGGGCAGAGCCAGAGGCACAAAACCCGCCCTTTGCTATTTCCCTCCAGTCTGCCTCGGTCCGCTTTACCGCACTAACGGTAAGCATTCCTCGCGTGTCACCCGTGTTGATTAAGCGTCTGTCGTGCGTGTGCCTAGCACTGTACCAGGTGGGAAACAGGACAGTCGGAGCCCACTCAGGTGACAGCTAACCCTGGAGGGCTTTCTGGAGGAGTTGAGCAGTACGGGACTTTGCAGAGGACACTTAAGGCTTGTTAGGCCGGCATGGTGGCTATGTCTTTAATCCCAGCGCTCAGGAGGTAGAGGCAGGTTTCTAGGGGAATGTAGTTTAGTCGGTAGTGTCTGCATAGTATGCAGGAAGCCCTGGGTTCAATCCCCAGCACCGCAGAAACTGGTTATGGTAGCTGATGGAAGAATGTGAGGAAAGGCAAGGAGTATATTGGTGTGGACAAGTCACAGCTGTAAGAGAAAATGACAGGGGGTTGGACTGACTTGAAGTGCCCTAAATGCCCTAGAGTATAAGTTTGAGGAGGTAGGTGCTCTGGATGGGAACAGTCCTGAAAGGAGCTTGCTCACTTCTTGAGCAATAGGCCCTTACTTTCCTCATCCTAAATGACCTGTTAAAAATGTATACACCCGCACGCCTTTAATCCCAGCACTCGGGAGGCAGAGCCAGGCGGATCTCTGTGAGTTCGAGGCCAGCCTGGTCTACAGAGCGAGATCCAGGACAGGTACCAAAACTACACAGAGAAACCCTGCCGGGGGGTGGGGAGATGTATACCCCCCCTGTCCCATAGGTACCAAAGAGCCATGGAAGAGTTTTGAGCACTAATGTGCTCCATGTGAATTTTAGGAAGTTCCTGGTGTGCTCTGGGATGGTGGGAGAAGTTTGGGGGGCTGGGCTGAGGTTAGCTCTTGCATTGTTCCCAAAGAATGTGTGGACTGTTTGCTTTTTGACTTGGAAGCCAGTTTTCTGAGCATGTGCAGTTCTGCGCCTGGTAATAGTTCCATGGCTTGGTAACACCATAGCCATCTTAGTTTGTATATGTGCTCAATCATGTCTGCACTGGACAGATTTGTTTGTAGACACATTATTGAACATCATGTCACTGTACGGTCCATTTGCTTTTTTAAAATATTACTTCATCATCTCCATTGATAAGGAAATAGATCCAGAGCAGGCTAATGAGCCTGATCAGATTGAGGCTCAGACTGTTTTACCGATCAGAAACATCCCACAACTTCAGCAAGCATTTAGTAAGCACCTCTAGTATGCCCTGTGCTGCCCACGGTACTAAAGAGGTCAACATTATCTTCCACATTGGGGGCTGTCACAGGTGTTTTCTACATGTTATCTCTGGATTAAGTCTAAACATTGGAAGTCAGTATACAATGTTTACAATATTTAAGCTGTCTCTCGTTTTCTGTTTTGAGACAGGGTAGCTCTGGTTGTCCTGAAACTTGCTCTGTAGACCAGGCTGGCCTCGAACTCACAGAGATCCGCGTGTCACTGCCTCTCGAGTGCTGGAGTAAAGGTGTGCGCCACCACCGCTTGCTCTTGGTTATCTTTTTTTTTCTTCTCCTTGTTCTTGTTCGTCTGCATTTCCTCATTTTTCATTCAAGTGTCTCTTCATGTCTGATTTCCTCATCCTTCATAAAGAGCCCAGAGTCAGTCTCTTTCTATCCCCATTCACACTTCCTTTACTTCTCAAACAAGCCCTTTTCTTCCCTGCCATCTAGGGTTGCAGAAGCTGCTGGGCCACACTGGCTTCCCAGCTGTCATGGTGTCAGTTTCCCCATGTGGCAGATGTGGCAGACTGGGGAGGCTGTGGAGGGGCAGGAGCAAAGGCTCGCCTCAGGTTACCCAGCATTATGTCTGCCCACGATTGCTCCCGATGGGGACCCAGGACCAGCATGGCCTGCAGGGCTCAGCCTGGGAAGTCTGGAATCAGGAACTTGGGACAGGCTTGAGATCACTCATCCTCAGGACCATGTTGAGGGGAGACATCCTTACCCGGTGTGATCTGCCTTCACAGTCAGCCCCAACAAAAGAAAACCTTTTAGATATTGGTCAGTCTTTTGTTTATTTATTGTTGGTAAAGGAAGGCTTTTACTGGGGTGAGGAAAAGCACTCACACACAACAAACACAAGGTGGGGGGAGGGGAGAGAGAGAGAGAGAGAGAGGAGAGAGACCTTGCAAAACAGAGCCCAGATTCTGGAAATCCCTGTATTATCAGCCTTGATTCCCAAGCTGCTATTTTCCCTGTTGCTACCTGTTTTCCCACCTGCCCTACTGAGCTAGGCTGGACTCATGTCGGGGTTCCCATGATGGAAGTGCTTCCTGGGGTAGAGGAAGAAATTGCTACTGAGCCTCTAGTGTGAGCCAGTAGATTCTAGAGCCTTGTACCTTGTACCTTCCTCCCCCATGGGCTTCCCAAACGCCTTTATTTCTTTAGACTAAACATCGCAGCTCTGAGTTGGAGGTTTCAGAATGAAACACTGAGGGCACTGGCCTCCTCCCTCCTAATCCTTCCTCACTGCTTGTTGGAGGAGAACAGGGACTCCATGGGGGCGCTGTCACCCAACTCTGAGCAGTCTGCATAGCTAGCTTGCATATCTGCCCTGTCTTAGGCCTGGCCAGCCCCTACCGGTTTGGTTTGGCCCTCATAGGCCTGGGATTTCTTCAGTGCTTCCCCCCTCCCCCCAGGCCCCTCCCTCCTGCTCACAGGCACCTTTTCTTCCTGGTTGAAAGTGCCCATCCCTGCCTTAAAGCTCCCTTCCGTTCTGCAGGTTCTGCATGTCGTTCCTGGCTACACTGATCTTTTGCTAGTTTGACCTCAGATGTCAGCTGGCTTATTACAGTAACATATAGTAATCAGTAATATACAGTAATCAGAATAGTAAGTGGTTAAGAGCACAAAGACCCTCGCTTGAGCTCTGTGCTAGCCAGAACTCCTGCATTTCCGTATCAGTCAGTGTGAGCTCAGCAGCCCCAGCCAAGAGAAGGTGCCAGTTCATATGGTCTGAGGCAGCCTGCCATGTGACACATGAACACTCTGCGTGCACGTGCACACACACACACACACACACACACAAACACACCCTTCCTTTGAGGCCCTTTCTTTTTCTCTTGGCTGTCTCTGGAGGATGGAACCTTGGCCACAGGCAGCCTTGGGGCTTGCATCCTAGAGAGCCCGCATCGGAAGGAGCTCATCCCCCAGTCGCCAAGCCCTCCCTGTGGCTAATGAAACACTACCTTTTGGGAAGAAGTAAGAGTCGGGAAACAGGTGGTAAACGTCGTAGTCACAGCAGCTCCTTACTACGTGGGTGACGTGACTGAACGCTGACCTGAGCCTCGGCAGGCATCTTCATCTGAAAGCAGTGGGGGACAGCTCCTGCCTCTGATGCCTGGGGTCAGCTGAGATGGTACGGGTAAAGCTGTAGCATCATGCATAGTTGGTGATCAGTGTGTGGTGGGGGAGCACTGAGTTGGGGACAGGAAGGCTGTGTTGACTTGGGGAATGCCTACTCTACCTGCCTTGCCTTCTACAGGACCACAGATCCCCCAGGGCCTGACTCTCTGGCCCCGGGTGGCTTGATCTGTCCATTCATCTTTGGGATTAGCATCAGCTAATTAGCTGAGGATCCCAGCAAATTATGGAAGTCAGCATGTGACAGAGGACCTGGTGCTGCTCAGCTCATGTGTGCCCATAGGGGAGGGATACGGAACACGGGCCGTGGTGATGGTTTTAAGTCAGCCTGAGCCAGGGACAAGACAACTCTGGAGGCCAGGGACCCGTGTCTGGTTTGGCCACATATACAAGATGAGGCTCCGCCCATCATCGTAGGAGTTAGTACTGTCTTGTCTCTGGGTGGTAAGCATGCTGTAAGAGGATCAGATTCTAATGAGGAGGTTGGAGGGTTGGGGGAACCTTAATGCTCTCCCCTTTTGGGCTGCTGATAGGGCTCTGTGAGTTAAGGCAACCACTAAGCCTGAAGACCTGAGTTTGATCCCAGGACCCACATGATGGAAAAGAGAGCAGCCTTGAACATAGTCTTTTAACCTCCACATGCATGGCATGTGCGCATGCTCACACACTCAAAGAAATAACTCTTTTCTTTCTTTCTTCCTTCCTTCCTTCCTTCCTTCCTTCCTTCCTTCCTTCCTTCCTTCCTTCCTTTTTTTTTTTGTGATAGGATTTCTCCGTGTAGCCCTGGCTGTCCTGGAACTCACTCTGTTGACCAGGCTGGCCTCTGCTCCCCCACCCCCACTGCCCTCCTGCCCCCCTCCCCGACCCTGGGATTTGAGGTATATATCACCACCACTAGGCTATTTAATTTTTTAAAAAGTCTCCCCTCCTGAGGGCTTAGATGGAAGAACACAACCCCAGGCCCACGCTGCCATGACTGGCCTGAATTTGTGAGGAAATACTTGCTCCCTGTAGGACTAGTGTGGGCTGGGAAAAGCTTTCTCAGAGAAACCCTCCCATAGGAAGTAGCAATGCCCTTGAACTTCAGAGCATCTGTGAACAGCAGGGAACCAACTGCTTTGTGAGAGGGACTTTGTGCTTCCGTGGTACATTTCTTACACCATTATGGCCCCGCTGGCTTCTTTCTCAGGCTCTGATGTGGACTGGTAAGGAATGTAATATTCCAGCGGCCCTAGGTACCTCCACATAGCTGAGGAGCCAAGGTGGAGGGAGGCTCTGCTCCCACCCCCAGTCCCTGTTAGAGAACCATGATTGTTCCCAGGAACCAATTACCAATGGACAAAAAATACTGTGGGATAGAGATTAAAAAACAAAAACAAAAACAAAAAACTGAGCCAGCCGTGGTGGCACACACCTTTGATCCCATCACTCAGGAGGCAGAGGCAGGCATATCCCTGAATTTGAGGCTAGCCTGGTCTACATAGCAAGTTCTAGGACAGCCAGGGCTACACAGGGAAACCCTGAGTTGAAAAAAACATAAATAAATAAACTCTGAGGCCTAATCATTTAGATTCTAGTCCTGGGGCAAGAAACGTAGTCTGTCGGACCCTTTTCCCCCAATTTATAAAACGAAGGCAACATTCAGATCTCAATGAGTTTTCGTGAGGACTAAAGGAATCAAGTGAGTGACGGGGGTGTAGCTCAGTGGTGGAACACAGGCTTACCGTGGGCAAGGCCCTGGGTTCCCTCCCCAGCATCATCATTCACACACAGATTAATCAACTAGGGACTGGCGAGATGGCTCAGTGGTTTGAAGTGTGTTCTGTAATTGCAGAAGACCAGAGTTCAGTTCCCAGCACCCATGTCAGGCAGCCCACAGCCACCTGTCACTCCAAGAGATCTGGCATCTCAAGGCCCCTGCACCCATGTGCACATACAGAGTTGCATATTCATGCCTCTTAAAAATTAATTCATAACGGCCGGGCGGTGGTGGCGCACGCCTTTAATCCCAGCACTCGGGAGGCAGAGGCAGGCGGATCTCTGTGAGTTCGAGGCCAGCCTGGTCTCCAAAGCGAGTTCCAGGAAAGGTGCAAAGCAACACAGAGAAACCCTGTCTCGAAAAAAAAAAAAAAAAAATTAATTCATAACAAATAAAGAAGTGAGCTCACACAAGCAGTTAGCACCCCATGGTGCCTGGGGGCACAGTGGGTGCTTCGTGAAGGTTGTCTGCCTCTGTCCATCATCATGTTTGATGGTTTTCATTCATCTTTCATGTTTTGCCTTGTTTTATTTCCCCATCATTTTATAATGGAAGCTTGATGTTACTTCACCCGTGGGTCAGTTTCTTCCTGAGTCCCAGGGTAGTTAGGACAACTGAAATCCACTGTCCTCTTGACTAGACTCTGGGTTTCCTTTCCCTAGATAACATGCAAGTCCTGCCTTCGCGTGCCTGGACCTCTTTGTCTTTCTCTTGGGTTGATGGTGAAGCGGGGAGAGGGCTGACTCTCGTCTTGTTCCTTGCCAGGCATGGCTCCGTGAAGGCTGAGGAGACAGAGCGCACAGCTCCCTTCCACTTGGACCTCTGGTTCTACTTCACACTGCAGAACTGGGTTCTGGACTTCGGCCGGCCCATTGCCATGGTAGGTGTGAGGCTGAGTCCTGCCAGCATTGAGGGGACTTACTGTGATTTCAGTTTGCCGAGTGACCTTACAGGCATCACTTCTTAGGGGAAATCTCGAGGCTCTTGCATTCTGTAGCCCTGTGACTGGCCAGTCATACCAGTAAGAGAGCCTGGGTGGGTCCCAATAGTCTTCCCATGAGGTAGAGCATAGCTGATGTCCTCTCTCATTACCTTGGGACAGATAGTACTCTCCTCTGGAGAAGCCCATCAGCTGCATTTGCATACTGTAAGTGACCAAACTAAAGTCACTTCCAAGTAGTGACAGTAACATGTAGAAGTTTCAAAATAGGGAGGTGCTAGACTTTGCTGAGGCTCGGACACACCCTCCACACCTGTCTCTGTTTATGTAACATATACAGAAATTCCTTTTTTTTCCTAACCAAAAGAAGATTTTGTTTTATACCTTATATTTGGCACCTTGATTGTTTTACATTAGAATGTATCTGCATAGCAGTGGTTCTCAACCTGTGGATTGTGACCCCTTTGGCAAACTTCTATCTCCAAAAATATTTACATTACAATTCATAACAGCAAGATTACAGTTATGAAGTAGCAATGAAAATAATGTTATGGTTGGGGTGACCACAACATGAGGAGCTGTAGTAAAGGGCATTAGGAAGGTTGAGAACCACTGCTCTATAGCAATATATGCAAATTGCTGTTTCTATTAATGGCAACTTAGTCTCCCATAGTAAACATGTATTATAATGGCCTGTCAGAGCTCCATGGTAAGACCCTGTCACAAGACAAAAGAAACCTAAGTGCTGAGCACTTCCAGCAAAGTGGCAGGCTACAGTTACCACAGCCTTCCTCCATACCAGATACAGACTGAGAAGGAAATCCGGGAGACAGCCCCGTTCCATCCCACAGAAGCCTGAAAAATAAAACAAAATGCCTTGAAACAAACCTAATCAAGGAAGTAAAGACCACACCATGAAAAGTTCAGAAGGCCCATTCTGCTCTCCCCATTCAGCAGAATAAGAAAAGATGTAAATATGATAGAATATTTTTGGTTTAAAAAAAGGTTAAAGGAGAAAGGACCTTTTTCAAATTAGGAAAGATTTTAGATTGTAAATGTGTTTTGTCCTAAGATAAAAGATTAAATAAAATATAAAACAGTAAAAAAATACTATTCTGTAGAGTACTGTCATGTAGAGGGCCTAAGACATTCCCTGGATATCCGTGTATCAAATATGACTAGGAACAGTCCATTTACTCTCTACAGGACTCAGTTTCTCTCTCTGGCAGTCCTTTTGGCCTAGGGCTTCCAAGAGAACACAGGAGGAGCTCAGTGTCTAAGGGGGCTGGTGTCCAGTGGCTTGCAGGCCTTCCTGTGAGCGCATGCCCTCTTTCCTAGTTGGTGTTCCCACTCCAATGGTTCCCTCTCAACAAGCCGAGTGTCGGGGACTACTTCCACATGGCCTACAATGTCATCACGCCCTTCCTTCTGCTCAAGGTACAGACTGGCCTGTCTCCCTCCCATCCTCTCTGGTAATAGAGGCGCGCATACACACAACACACACACACACACACACACACACACACACACACACACACACACACACACACTCTCTCTCTCTCTCTCTCTCTCTCTCTCTCTCTCTCTCTCTCTCTCTCTCTCTCTCTCTCTCCATGAGCTGGTGAACTGGTTCAGTGGGTCAGGGTGCTTACTGCCAAGCCTGGCAGCCTAAATTTTATCCCCACATGATAAGAAACGACTTCCACAAATTATCCTCTGACCTTTACATGTCTACCTACATACATACACTCACACAATAAATAAATGGTAAGTGTTTCTTCAAAAATTAAAAATGAAAGACATTTCAAATTTCTAAAAGTAGGAGAAGCATCACTTCAGAACTGTGGTTTTAGAACGCCCACCCCCATTTTGGACTCCTTGACATTTTCTTTCTGTTTACTGGGGACCTGTCACTTAGGAAGCAGACCCCTGCAGCATGCTGGCCCACCCAGAGCACACATGGGACACCCTGGGGTAGTGGAAGGGTCTGGCCTGGTCAGGACTCCTGCCTTGAAGGTCTGGTATCACACTGCCCCCATCCCCCACCCTCACCTGATTTTCCTGAAGAAGAAGAAGGGTGTCCTTCAGCAGACGCTGCTGGACTTACACCGTGCCGTGGTCTGGTGCTAGGCTGTCCTTCTAAGGAACCCACAACCCCCAGAGGGACTTTCTATCCCACTTTTCTGGGGGAAGGGAGGCAGAGGTTTTCACACATTGTGATGGAGTCCGGGACATGCTGTGGACCTCATTCTGAACCTTAGCTCATCGAGAGGTCCCCCCGCACGCTGCCGCGGTCTATAATCTACGTCAGTATCATCACCTTCATCATGGGAGCCAGCATCCACCTGGTGGGCGACTCCGTCAACCACCGCCTGCTCTTCAGTGGGTACCAGCACCACCTGTCCGTCAGAGAGAACCCCATCATCAAGAACCTCAAGCCAGAGACACTGGTGAGGCTCTTCCCCCACCCACTCTCCCAAGGCTGCCCTACTGGGTGTCTGTACTTGGAGACTAAAAAGGCTCCCCAGCCAGTCATGTCTCATGTAGCCCAGGCTGACCACAAATTCTGTAAGTAGCCAAGGATGACCTTGAACTCCTGATCCTCCTGCCTCTGCCTCCTGGAGTGCTGGAATTATAAGCATGTAGCTAAGTGAGGGCATTGTTGCCCACCCAAATCAGTATGCTCCTAGACTGTAAAGGGACACAGTATCTGTCTGAATGTGGGGTGCATGTCTGAAACCCCAGCACTCAGGAGGGAAAGAGAAGAGGATTGCTACAAGTTCAAGACCAGCCTGGTTTATGTAGTGGTTCAAGACCAGCCTGGTTTATATAGTGGTTCAAGACCAGCCTGGTTTATATAGTGAGACTATCACAAAAAAACAAACGAAACCCTGGCTCCCCGTGCCCCTCTGGTACCCTAGGGAGGGAATGAGAATGGTGTGTGGGAGGTGTTGTTTCAGGCCCCAGCCCCTCTCACTCTGCCACCTCTGTGCCTTCTCAGATCGACTCCTTTGAGCTGCTCTACTACTATGACGAGTACCTGGGCCACTCCATGTGGTGAGTGAGGGGCTGACTGGTCTATGTTCCGTCCAGGGCCCAGGCACCAGGAGACACTGAACAAGGCTCCCTGGACCCCAGGTCTCTAAGAATCAAATGGAGCATCTGGAATGGAATTCTCTTCTCAGCGAAGGCGCTGTGGGGGACCCCTGGTCAGCGTGCCAAGGGAGACCCAGTTGCTTTCGGTTGGCCTCCTCCCTACCGGAAGTTCCCACGGTAGCCACTAGAGGGCAGCAAGCAGGTGTTGTCCACCTTAGCCATGTCTGAGCCTGGGGCTGGGGAGGGAGGGAGGGCTGTAGCCCTGATAAACAAACACACTAGAATCTAGTGACTAGATGGTTGCCGGTGGGATGCAGGAGACAGATGGGGATGTAGGAAGTTGATAAGAACCAGTAGGGCCAGGTTTGGGTGGCACAATTTGTGTTCCCCATCTTGGAACTCCCCGGGGAATATCCCCACCCCACCCCACCCCCACCACTGCCGCCACTGCCACTTTGAGGAAAATCTCAGAAATGTGGGGTCAGAACCAGAGACTGAGAGCTCAAATACGGAGGCTTTCTCTGCCATCCCTCATCCTATACTGGATAAACTAAAGCCGGCGAGAAGAGAGCACTCGTCCGCTGGGAGGTGAGGGGCTAGCCCTGCACCTAGGAGCCTCATGTGGACTGAGGCGCTTCCCTCAACACATGCCCCACACCGGTGTCTGTGGGTCTGTCTGAGGTTGTGGAGGTTGATCCTTCTGGTTCGGAGAGCGATAGGGGACCCCTGCACAGGCTCTTGCCAGCTCTTCCTGACTCTGCCAGAAGTTGGGAAAGGAGGAGGGAGGTGGAATAGGCCTGGGAATTCAGGGGAGGTTGGGGGAGTGGACTGAGTATTGGAGGGTGGGGGTGTCACGACAGAAAAGGGTTTGTGTACAAGAGTATGAGCGTGTGTGTGTGTGTGTGTGTGTGTGTGTGTGTGTGTGTGTGTGTGTGTGTACTGGAAGGAGAAAGGAAGCCGGTGTGAGGAGGAGAGAAGCTGTACTCTTGGATGAGGTGGGGACTGTTGGCTAAGTGTGAATGAAGAGCTCCACCTCCCTCCTCGGGATCTCCCAGAACCATGTTCTCTCTGACTTCAGCCCTACTGGGTACCCCCTTTCCAGGGTAGTGTGGTACTGGACCTGCTGGTGTCTAAGTCACATGGGCGAGACAGCCCCACATCCCCTAATCTCCATGTGGAATGAAGGACAGGGTGGGCACCAGGTCCAGAGAGGGAATCCAGGCAGGGTGCGGTTGCCATGGCACCCACGCCCTTCACCTTAGTACTTAACACAAGGAACCCTGGGCCCTTCTTTGCATGAGCCTCACCTTTTGGCTTCTGTTCCTCCCGCCTGGACTCCCAGGGCAGGAAAGGCTGAATGTAGAGGAGTGTGTCTGACCCATGCCAAGGGTTTTATAAACCACGAGGTGACACCCTCCGCGACAGGGGCCAGTGGAGAGATGATGGGGACACCCCTGGTCAGGCTTTTAAAGCTGTCGCCTCTCTGTCCCAGGTACATCCCCTTCTTCCTCATCCTCTTCATGTACTTCAGCGGCTGTTTTACCACCTCCAAGGCTGAGAGCCACATGCCAGGGTCAGCCCTGCTCCTGGTGGTGCCCAGTGGCCTGTACTACTGGTGAGTGGACATTGACATTTGGGGTGGGACAGAGGGCACAGGCACAGAATGAGCCACCACAGTAAAATCCACACGTAAACAGTGCTGGGTGTGGTGACCCACTTCTGTAATCCCAGCACTTGGGAGGTGGAGGCAGGAGGATCAGGAACCCCAAGTAAGCATTGGCTACATAATGAGTTTGAGGCCATGTTGGGCTACATGGATCCTGCCTCAAAAAGAGAGAAAGAAAAAAAAAATCACGTTTGACTACAGACCTGCAGTGTGACCACAGGTAAGACTTGCTATCCCCAGGCCTCTGCTTCCTCCTGGGTAGAGGGCTGTGCCTTGTAGTGGCTTCTCTGTTACCGTGATGCCCAGCTAAGTAGACAGAGAGAGGCGAGGCTGTCCTCTGTACCCTACCTCCGAGCACATCAAAGCTGCCTTGAGGCCAGGCGTCTACCTCTAGCCTCATGCCTTGTGAATCCTCCTGAGCCTCAGTTTACCTCAATAATGGAAGTTATACCTGCCCGTCCCCCTCGCAGGAGATGTTGGGATTCAGTGGGGAGAGACGAGCACCAGGGTGACAAGATGACAAGGACCAAGGACAGACCAGGGAGACATTCTCAGCCTAGTCCTGCCTCTCCTGCTCCTTTGTTCTCCGGAGGTCCCTTTCCCTACTCTGGACTCCCCTCTCAGACCTCAGCCAGACCCTTATCTTCCCATTTCTTCTTCAGAGGCAGCTCTTTCTCTCATACACACCCAGAGGACTGGGATTACAGGAAGGCCCCAGCACAATTGGGCCTCCTTGGATGGGGAGCCCCCTCTACATAAGAAAATCCCTTCCTCCCTGGGCCATCTCTAGCCACTTCCAGGACCTGTTCAGCCTGCAAGAGGGCCCACTAGGGCTAACCTGTGCTCTTGTGGAGGATGAGACTAGGGATAGTAGCATTTATACCAGGGAGAAAGAGGCTCAACCTGGGCGTGTTCATTGCCACAGTCTTCCCTTGACATGTTAGTGCAACAGCGGTCGGTTCACAACACACCATCCCCTGAACGATATGCTTTTCCAAGTGAGAGATGCAAACAGCCCCTGTCAGACACCTTGAGAGGTGGGGCTGTTTATGTGTGTGTGTGTGTGTGTGTGTGTGTGTGTGTCCCCGTAAGAGAGGAAACAGCCTTGAAGTTGTTGTTCAAAGTAGTCCACATGCCATCCCCAAGGTCGCAGGCCCGGAGGCTTCTGAGCTGGAGTTCCTTAAGTGAATGGGTGGGCCTCAGGACTTCTGGAGGCAGAGACCTAGATAACACTGCAGAAGCCTCCAAGTGCCTCTGGGTGCTCTGTACTCCAGGGTGCAGCATGTCAAGGAGATGACTGACAGTAGCCTCCATGTATTGGGATGGCATCCCCAAACTCAGATGCCTCCAGAAACCAAGCAGGTAGCAGAGTGTGGAACTGAGGCCATGCATCCACATGTTCCCTGCGAAGAAGACTGCATCCTCTTCTTCTTCCAGAGCCAATGTCCGTCATGTGGGCGTGTCCTCATGTGAGAAATGCCAGAAACCAAAGCCAGATATCTCCTGATTCTCAGTATGTAGCCTTGGAATTCGCTGTGTGGTAACCAGAGACCTTCTTACCTCTGCCTCCTGGGTGCTGCGTAAACATGTGAGCCACGGCACCTAGCTGACTATTATATTTAATAGTAGTAGTATTACTACTATTAATTATTATTATTATTTTGAAACATGGTCTATGTAGCCCTGGCTGTCCTGGAACTATGTAGACCAGACTGGCCTCAAACTCAAAGATCTTCCTGCCTCTGCCTCCTTAGTGCTAGGATTAAAGGCATGTGCCACCATGCCCTGCGATCCAGCTGAGTATTGTTAAACCACTTAAAGTCATATGATGCCCCGGGCTGTGGTTTAGATTGTCCTGGCACATTGGGTCCTCTCACTAGCGGAGCCATTCTGATTGACTGGGAGGGCAGCCTAGTACTTGGTCCAGAGGGATAGCAGGCAGAATGGTGTTGCCATGGCACCCACTCCATCTCCACACCTGTCCTCTTTCTCCAGGTACCTGGTCACCGAGGGGCAGATCTTCATGCTCTTCATCTTTACCTTCTTTGCCATGCTGGCCCTCGTCCTGCACCAGAAGCGCAGGTGCCTCTTCCTGGACAGCAACGGCCTCTTCCTCTTCTCTTCCTTCGCCCTCACCCTGTCCCTGGTGGCTCTGTGGGTTGCTTGGCTGTGGAATGACCCTGTACTCAGAAAGAAGTACCCTGGTGTCATCTACGTCCCTGAGCCCTGGGCTTTCTACACGCTCCATGTCAGCAGTCAACACTGAGGCTCCCTGGGAGCAACAGGCCATGGGTATTTGTGCCTGGGTGCATATGTGCATCGTGGTAACGTGGGCTGTGCACTGTGCACAGATTTGCAGAGTTCATTGTTGAGAGACTCAACTGTTTGGGTCTGGGATTTTTGTTTGTTTTTTGCTTTGGACTTCAGATGGCATTTAGTTTGGGGACGTATATGAAGGCCAAGATCCTGGCCCTGCCCTACCCTGTATTTCACTACTATTAAGGGTGCCTAAGTAACACTCCCATCTCTCAGGACTGAGCTGGCCTCACATGGAAATGTCTTCTGGTGGCCATGCAGGTGAAGGGTGGTTAGGGCAGAAACAGGAAACTCTGCCACCCACCCAGAAGCTGGCTTGCCCTGAAGCTGCCTGCCCCTGGACCCAAGGTTTCTAGGTCACAACTTCTGTGCTTTGAACAGCGTATTTCCATCTGGGCTTCATTTGTTCTAGAGGGCCCTGTGGTCCCCAAGTAGCTCCATGGACTGGGGGTTACTGGTTCCTCTGGTTTAGCCTCAGCAAGGAAGAGTGGTTCTGTCTGTCACTGCGTCCCCACCCTCAGCCTAGAGGGGTATCTTGTCCAGCCTAGGACCTCACTGACATGCTACTGAGAACCCAGTCTCCAGGGAGCCAGAGGCCCAGTTCCAGGTCACTATCAGCTGAACTCTGGAAACCTGGCCTGGGTTTTGAGCTGCATAGAAGGCAGAGTTCTCAAGTCCTTGTTTTATAGATTCCCTGAGACCTGTTGTAAGGGTCTGGGGTGTTACAAATCTCTCTCAAGATTTTACATCTCAACCTGAATCTCTCGCCACCTGCCCGGTGCCTTTGTTCCCAGCACGGTGGCTCCTGCTTCTCCCCAGCCCCGCCTCCTCCCAGGCTTAGGTACAGGTCTCCTTGGCACAAGGCACCACCACCTCCTTTGGCAGCCAGCATTGGCCTGTGCTGTGAGCTTTGGGACACGCCTATGCGTTCTTTCCTGTTGCTCTCGGAACAGTGGGCCCCAGATTTTCTCTTTTGTTGTGGTCTTTCTACAGGCTAGACCATGCTGAGTGCTGAGAGGTCTGAATAAAGGCTGGTGTGGAGCCCAGCCTGGCTGGGGGCTGTTTCTAGCTTTGGGAATGTGGTGGGAGGCAGGAGGGAGTTCTGGACTAAGCGGGGGAGACTGGCTGGTCTGGGGCCTAGGCTGTAGGGTAAGAGGCTTTCTCTTGGGGCAGGCCTTGAGGGCCCTCTCACTGCCCCCTCCTCCCCAATCCGCCTACCACCTAGAGCAGTGGTTCTTAACCTGTGGGTTGCGACCTTCAGAAAACTCTTATTGCTGATGGTCTTAGAAACTGAGACTCTGCTCAGTCGCAACAGTATGAAGTAGCAACAAAAATAATTTTATGGTTGGGGTCCCTACAACATGAGGAACTGTATTAAAAGGTCACAGAGTTAGGAATGATGAGAACCACTGACTTAGGGACTCCTGGGGCTGTGGGCAAGAAGGATCTCTTCCCAGTCAGTACAGTGTCCTTAGAGGAACCTGGGCCACTGCGGGGGGGGGGGGGGGGGGGGGGGGGGATAGAGCATCTCAGACCTGTCGCTAGGGGTTCCCCTCCAGTCATCCCCTGTGCTGGGAGGCAGCGGGAAGCTATTTTGTAGGAGGCGGCCCTGAGCCTTGGGCAAGTTGACTGTGCTCTTGGTGGCCAGAGTTCTCAGCCTGGCCACACCTCACCAGAGACATGGGGACCATGGCTCCATCCATGCATCTGTCCCCTCAGCTGCCCAGCACATTCCTTGTCTGCCTCCAGGATGCTGCCATTTCAGGACTATCATTATCAGGTCTAAACAGCTATCTCATAAGCAGGGGCAGGCTTGATTTGTGGGGCCTGAAGACTTTGCATTTTGAGGAGCCCTTTGTAAGAAAACAGTGGGAATGGGGGCAGTGTGTAGGCCAGAGGACAACCTCAGGTGTCCTTTAGGGACACTATCCACCTTGTTTTTGAGACTGGGTCTTTCACTGGCCTGGAACTTGCCCATTAGGCTAGGTTCACTGGCCAGTGAGGGCTGCAGAGATCCAGTCTCCACCTCCCCAGGCCTAGATTGCAAATGTACCACCACACCTGACCTTTCTTATGTGGGTCCTGGGGTTAGAACTCAGGTCCTTGTGCTTGTAAGGCAAGTGCTTTACTGACTGAGCCATTTCCCTGACCCTAAGGGAACATTTAAAAACATTTACCAAAGTGAGTATTTAGGAATAGCAAGTTCCTGGAGCCCTGGGCCACTGTGTGCCTCTTGGGCAGTTGACTAGGGATGTGGTCCTGGAAAGCTGTCTGGATGGCAGCCTGGCTTCATCTACCTGGATTTCTACCAGCAAGCTTCTAGCAAACTGGGTCCCAGAGTGAGGCAGGTTATGGGAGAAACCAGCAACTGGGGACGGACCTTGTAGGCCACTGTGATGTAGGCTCCTCTGGGGACCACCACTCCAGGCCCTGGCTGCCCTGTGTGGCCCTAGACTTCAGCTAGTTTCCTCTGGAAACAGCATCTTGACCCCCTTCTGGGTTGTACCTAGTGGGATCCATGAGACTCCAGTTTTTTGCTGCCCAGGTGCAAGTGTGCAGCCCATGTGGCTTTGCGAGGCAGCTGTCGTGGTACCGTGAACATGATGGTCGAGAACAGCAGCTGTTCATCTGCTCACTTCTGAGGGTGAGGTGTTGACAGGGTTGTATTCTCACAGGCTCTAGAGGATGCTTCTCTGCCTCTTCCAGCCTGTGGTGGGACTCAGGCTATCCTGGGTGTTCTGGGCTGTGGGCCCATTAGTCATGGCCCTCCCTGTGTGGTGTCTGAACCCCCTTCCTTGAGTTAGGACCTACCTTACTCACTTGGGATGACCTCATCTCGGTTACATCCACAGACCTGCTTCAGATTAAGTCCCTTGGCTCTAGGTGGACACGGATTCTGGGGACACTAGTTAGTCCAGGAGAGGCCTGAAACAAAAAGGCACATAGGATGGAGGTGAAGAGAGCAAAGTCAGAGCCTTCTTGCCCTTCCACACTTTACCCAGCAGGCACACAGGAAGCCTGCCAAGTCTCACTCTCCTGGCCGGGGGAGGGCTAAGGACTGCCCTATCAGCTCCCGCCTGTGTGAAAGGAAGGGGCCTTGGCTAAGAGCTTGGCTGAGGAACACAGCTCCATAAGAAAGTGTCAAGAGGAAGATCTTGCTCTCTGCATCCCTTTCAAGGGCAGGATATAGGGAGACAGGGCTGGGGTCAGGGACTGAGTCTTCCATGGTACAGGCTGGCTTTGAACTCACTCAGGAGCCCAGGGTGGAACTGAACTTCTGATCCTGCTGCCTTTATTCTCTACTGGAGTTACAGGCATGTGTGTCTGATTCATGCAGTGCAGTGGGTCAAACCCAGGGCTTGCATGCTTGAGACAGGGTGCTTCTAGCTTTGGAGCCTGCCCTGGCACTCGCTCTGTTGACCAGACTGGCCTCGAACTCACAGAGATCCGCCTGCTACTGTCTCCCGAGTGCTGGGGTTAAAGGAGTTCACCGCCACTGCCCGGCTCCTACATAATCTTTCTAAGACATTCCCGGAGGCTCTTCTGCTGCTCTGGTTGGCATCCTTGTGGACAAAGTAGCCTGAGTGGGGAGGAGGTGCCACTTGCCTGAAGCCCCTTCCACGGGGAGGGGGCTTAGTCCAGGGTGGTAAAAAGAGGGAAGGGACCCAACAGAATTCGGTGATGCCCAAGGGAGGTGCCAGCCCCTAGCCAGGAGGGCCATGTTTCAAGAATAAAGTGAATAAATTCAGCTCCAAGTGGTACTGGAGTGGTTTTCTGTTCCTTTTGACATGAAGAGTCACATGCAGAGTACAGTGTAGCCTGGTGGGCATAGACCATCAGCCCATATGTAGTCCCAGCCTTGGAGCAGGTGCTTTAAACCAGCTCACCACCTACAAACAGGGAAGTGGGTGTGGCTGCAAATACCTGACCATTTACTTGGGAGGTGGAAGGAGGAGGAGCAAGAATTCCAAGCCATCCTCAATTGTACAGTGACTTTGAGGGCAGCCTGGGCCACGAGATCTGTCTCAAAATAACAACAAATGGCTGCTGGAGAGACAGATGACTCCCTGAGTGCCTGAATTTGCAGAGGACCTGAATTTGGTTCCCACAATCTACCTAGAGTGGCTCACAACTGCCTGTAATTCCAGCTGCAGGGGCTCCGACTTCCTTTCCTGGCCTCTGTGGGCTCCTGTACTCGCATGAACACACAGACATGCAAACATACACATAATTAAAAGTATATTTTAAAAAGTGCTTTTCTGTCTGGTGGCAGCCATCAGGTGAGTCAAGGTGGGTACATACGAGTACAGACTATAAAGCAACAATTCTCAGCCTGTAGGTTGCGACCCCTTTGAGGGTCTTATGGCAACAAAAATAATTTTATAGTTGCGGGGGTCAGCACACCATGAGGAACTGTATTAAGGGTCGCAGCATTAGGAGGGGTGAGAACCGCTGCTCTAGAGGAAGAAGAGGTCTGACAGGAAGCACTTTCTTCAGGGCTTGCTGCTAACTCTGTGCTGCACAGGGCTCCCCGCCCCACCTGGCCAGGTAAAGCAAACAGGCTGCTTTACGAGGCTAGGCAAAATTTCACCAGATGCAGGACTTCATGTTCACAGGGGGGGCTGCAAACACCCAGTTCCTTAGAGGCAGGCCTGACCATCATGGTGTTAACCAGCTGGATTGCCCAATCTTCAGTCTTGTTGAGAGAGCTGGACTCTACTGCAAAGCTTTGAGGCCTGAATTCTTACTGGGTGGAAGGATTCACGTACAAATTCTTGAGGCTCTCCTCAACGGCCCACTCCACAATTAATTACCAGAACAAACCCTGACACCCAGCCCAACCTGTCCATCAGCACTGGGAGATGCGTGGGCTGCCATCTGCTGGCCACAAGAGTTGTGGTCTCCGTAAGGGAACAGTCAGTTCTCTAACACCAGTGGGAGAAAGTGCATAACTATTCAGCTCCATTACCGATGATGTAAGTAATGTTTCTAAAATTTATACCAATAAATGATTCAGGATAGACACATACACACACACACACACACACACACACACACACACACACACACACACACACGCATGCACACGCTCGGAACAAAAAAAAGAATGGGAGAGTTGACAGGTGTCAGGACACCCTTAGAGCACATGGCTGACCCCAGTACCCACGTACTGAAACCCAAGAAAATGCCTTCCCTGTCTTTGAACCCTTCACAAAGGTAGGTGATTGAGGCCTGTGCCCACCTGTCAAAGTTCTGCCTACTTGCCTTTCTCTCTCAAGGCCACTGAGGTGCACCCTCCAGCCTTCCCCCACCATACCACCCTATAGAGTGCAGTTGGAACCTCAAGATTCTCAAGTCTAAGAATGTGAAGAGGTGAATCAGGAGAAACTTGGGGAGAAAAAACATTCCACATGGAGGTGGTCAGAACCAGAGGGAGGCCCCTGTGTCCATGTGCCCTCATACAAGTTAGCAGGAGGCCACATACCCATGTGCCCTCAGAGTTAGCAGGAGGCCACATACCCATGTGCCCTCATACAAGTTAGCAGGAGGCCACATACCCATGTGCCCCCAGAGTTAGCAGGAGGCCACATACCCATGTGCCCTCATACAAGTTAGCAGGAGAGCCCTCTTCCTCTGGCACTTGCAGACTTCAGCAGCCCTGTTAGCTCCCTGTGCAGTGCACAACCTGGGTGACCACACACAATAGCCAACGACTGCGCCTGCCTGGATTAGATGCCTTGCAGGCAAGCCAGCCACCAGGTGTGGATGAGGAAAGGAGACTTCCAGACCCGTGTGAGGACCTAGTCATGTCCAGGGCTTAATGGCAGTTCTGGGAGCCACCCATATTCCAGTCTCTCAGGGGGAAGGGAAGCAGCACAGAGAAATTCAGAGTCAGCGCTAATCCAGGAAGGGGTGAGGAGCAGGAGAAGAGTTAGAGGAGCTTCCTGCCTGGGAAAGTCACTGAGAGGCCAAACTCCAAGGCTCCTGAGCAGCTCCAGCAGCCACCACCATCCCCAGCCCCCACCCCCGGGAGGTAGAATTGGCAGTGTGCTGGTCATTGGGTCCCTGCAGCCTATAATTATGGCATCATGTATCTGGTGAGGAAACAGGCAGAAGAGAGGAGGGATTCGGGTCCCAGCTGAAAACAATGTCTTCAGTGTGTCCCCAGCTGCAGTGTGTCCCCAAGGCTGTGTATGAAGTCTCAGAGCCGGGCTCCTTTGGATTGCCTCTTCTGGAGAAAGTGTGTGTGGTGTTTGGCTCCAGCAAGGGTCCCAAGACATGCTCAGGCCAGGCCAGAGTCAGCCCCACTCAGGGCCCCTTTCCAGAATCTTGGCTCCCAGGGACATTGGCATTTTTCCTGGGGCTGCAGAGCCTCAGCCTCCAGTGGCAAGGACCTCCAGGAGAGTCTGTAATGGTTTCCTCACAGTCAACGTCAGGATGGGGGGGCATCACTGCTCAGAGAGGGCTGGAATCTGACCCTCATGGCATTGGGCCCAGTCTCCATGGCAGCAGAGGATTTATTACCAGGCCTCCACCCAGCCTGGTGGACTTTCGACTCCAAGCCAGAGGAAAGAGAACCAAACACGGAACAAGGGGTGCCTGAAGATGGTGAGTGAGGGGCTTTGCCGGAAGTAGGTGAGAAGGTCCCTGCTGGAGCCCCCTCCTAATTGTTCTTTCTCTGCTGCAGGCCAAGTTCCTTTCCCAGGACCAAATTAATGGTAGGTTGGGTTTGTTCTTTAATTGGGAACTCCCCACAAATGTGTGTCTCATTAGGCAGTTTGCTTTGCTGGGTTCTGTTGGTAGGAAGGCAGGCCTGATGGGTGGAGAGCTGGCCCACCCACAGGCTTGGGGCCCAGTGCTGTGGGCCGGCTGGCTATCTGGTTGGGGGTGACTCCGAAGATGGCCTTGCTGACTTCCTGGGGCTTATTATATGTCAATGTGACTTTAAAGCTGGGTCACAGACGAGAGATTGCTCCTCAGAGCCAGAGAGTGGGTCTGGGTGGGAAGCTGGTGAGAGCTGGAGAGAGAACATTAACATAGGAGCTGAAGGCCCTAGACAAAGGGGTGGGGCTTTGTAGTCAGTGCAGATGGGGAACAGAATCCAGGGCTACACCCTCGGCAGGATATTTCCTTCTCTTTCTTTTTTCTTTCTTCTTTTTGTTTTGTTTTGTTTGTTTTTGTTTTTCGAGACAGGTTTTCTCTGTGTAGCCTTAGCTACACTGGAACTCACTCTGTAGACCAGGGCTGGCCTGGAACTCACAGAGATCCACCTGCCTCTGCCTCCCAAGTGCTGGGATTAAAGGAATGCACCACCACCGCCCGGCTGGCAGGATATTCCTTTATGAGCCGTAGTCTCTGTAAAACTAGGGCTTCAGCTGACACCGCCCGCCCAACTCAGTGTGAGCACCTTGTTCTTAAGTTTCCTGCAGAGGAGAGGTCTGTTTCCCCAAGACCAGAAAGGCTGAATTGGGTTACACAGGACTTGGCCAAGACCTGGCCAGGGGTCTGGTGGCTGAGTACCTGGCAAAAATGGCCAGAGCCCTGCCTGGGACATTCAGGGGACAAGCAGCTTCCCCTGAGGCTGTGCCCCTAAACCTACCCCAACAGAGGATGGAAACAGCCCCACTATGTACTTCTCATTGCTGCTGAAATGACACCTGGTCAGTGAGATAAAACTGCAGGTGCACAGGGTCCAGGCAGCTCTGATGCAGGACAGTGGCCAGAAGGCCACAGACTTGGCTTCTGGTTACTCCAGCAAGGATCCCAGAAGCATAAGTGCCCAGAGCTTGGTCTAGAAGAGGGGGTGGCAGGGATGTGACTTAATAGGTCCAAGTGGGTACCTTCTCCTAGAATCCTTAACTCCCTATCCCCCAAACCTATGCCAAGGCCAGAGGGGACAGATGAGGGGACTTTAAAGCACTGAGCCTAGCCTACATTTAGGGCTAGGAGCTGGCAAGATGACTCAGCAGTTCAGAATTTGTACTGCTCTTGCAGAGGACCCAAGTTTGGTTCCCAGCACACGTACAAGGGCTGCTCACAACCACCTCTAACTCCAGCTCCCAGGGCATCAGACACTTCTTGTCTCCATGGGCACCTACCTGGATGCATGCATACACACAATGAAAAATAAAGTCTTTAAAGGTGGACCTAAGCTAGAGGCCACCTCCAGCCTCAGAAGTCACCCTACCATGCCAGGATGGAAGACTCACTGTTCCTCTCTATGGCTTTTGAAACTACTAGAAAGGAAGAAAGCAGATTCTCTTTGTATCCCAGTGTCTGATACCAAGAAGGTGGCCTTTTAATATTTATCAATTGGATAGGGGTGGGGGAGGAATGGGGCCGCTGGAGGCTGCTGCCTGGCCATTCACCTCGGAGCATTGGTTTTCTCATCGGAGAGAGAGGGACAATCATGCCACCTTATGGGGCTGCCGTGAGCTAGGGACAAAGGAGAGAACAGCATCACGTGCTGGGCACTGGGTGTGAGGATACTTCTAGGAATTTTATAAGCTGATATTAAAATCAGGTATTATTAAACAGAGAAGGTACAAACTATGTTCAGTCTGTGTGGAAAGCTAAGAAGACAGCCTTGCTGCAATCAGGACCATGAAAGACTTGAAAGAAGTTCCAGTTTAGGAGCTGGGGATGTAACTCAGTTAGCATACATGGGGACCTGGGTTCAATCCCTAACACCACACAAACTAGATATGATGGTGTTTCCCTGTAATCCCAGCATTCAGGAGGCAAAGGCAGGAGGATCAGAAGTTCAAGGCTAACCTAGGCCACATGAGACTCAAGAAAGCAAGAGGTTTCAGTTTAGTGAATATAATTTATACCATGGTGAGGAACAGTTTACTAGAGGACCATTACTGGATTTAATGGAAATATAATCTCAATTCACTGGGAAAAGAATTGCATTATTTTGTTAAATCGAAGCTGCAGGTTAACTATGAATACAAGAGTGGGCAAAATTCACTTGTAATGTTGAGTTGGTTAGACAGAATTTATTCTATTTATTTATTTAGTTTTGTTTTTTTGAGACAGGGTTTCTCTGGGTAGCCTTGGCTGTCCTGGAACTTGCTCTATAGATCAGGCTGGCCTCAGACTCAGAGATCTGTCTGATTCTGCCTCCCAAGTGCTGGGATTAAAGGTGTGTACCACTACCTCCAGGCTAGATAGAATTTATAAGGGAGAACATTGTATATTTTATTATGTGTGAATTGCGCACTGCACATCTTTAATACCTGTAAGGTGCATGGTAAACGTACGAATGTGTTAGCACAGCTGTTAACCATTTCCATACACGGGCCTTCTGTGGGAAGGGAGGAGGCCTGGAGAAGGTCTTTTTCTTATTTGGAGTATTTGCATATCTCTAGGGATTTTTAACTCAATGCATTTACCTCAACTTATTCTTTACTTCAGCAAGTGTCCTTTTTCTGTGCCAGCCCTGCCCTGTGCCAGCCCTGCCCTAGTTGTTAAAATTTCAGCAGTGAGCAAAAGATAAAAACCCCCAATTCTTGGAGTCACAATCAAGGGGAGTGAAAGACAGAATGGAAAGCAGTAAAAGATGGGTGGCTAGATTGAGAGATGGAGATGTGTGTGCAGGGGATGTGTGTGTAGGGGACTGAAGGGGCAGGCTCCTCAGGGCAGCCAGGGCTCCCTGTAACACCGGTATCTTGTTATCTTCTTCTAGCACAGTGAGATAAGACTTCGAGTATCTAGGACCCACAAAGCCCTGTGATGCAGGACAGTGTCCAGGAGGCTCCAGAGGTGGCTTCTGGTTACCCAGGCAGGGATCCCAGAGATGTAAAGGACCAGAGTTTGGTCTAGAAGAGAGATGGTGGGGTGGGGAGCTGGAGGGATGGCTCAGTGGTTAAGAGCATCTGAGTTAGGTTCCCAGCATCCACACTGGGTGGCTCACACCCACCTGTAACTCCAGCTCCAGGGAATCTGGCTGTGCAGGTTTGAAGAGGACTGGGTTTGGCGAGATGGTTCAGTGGGTAAGGGTACTTACTGTCAAGCCTGACAATCAGTTCCACCCTCCCCCATCCCTACCCCACAAGATGAAAGAAGAGAACCGACTCCCTCACAAGATACCCTCTGACCCCCACACATAGACACTAAATAAACAAATAAAATGTGTTAACATATTTAAGAAATGAAAGAAAAGGTGGATCTGTTGAGGCTGGAAGAGAAAACAGTTTGTTCAGAGGCTGGCCTCTGTTTAATCCTTACCCTAGGCCCCGGTTACCAACATTGGGGAATGTGGTGTGCCTGTCTGGACAGCCAGCAAATCCTGGGCCCCTCTCACAGGCTTCAGCCTCCTTCTTTGGAAAATAGAAGGGATTAGGGGATTAGGGGAGCTCACTCCGCAGAATCTCCATCTGCAGAGCCGCGATCTTTCCCAAGCTCCCAGGTGGCTTGGCTTCGCCTCCAGGGGCTGCTGGGAAGAGCCTGGACAGCTCTGCCAGCTGTACACCTGCGGCAGCAGGAGGAGGAGGCTGCTGCACAGGGAAGGAAGGACTGCAGGGAGAGCTGTGGGGCCACTGCTGATGTTCTGGGCACACTCCATGGCAGTTCCGTGGTCAGGCCCAGGACCTGCCAGAGGAGGACTTGAGAGTTCAGGAGTTAGGGCCTGGGGCTGGACATGTGATAGGAAGTATCACATGCAGCTGTGACAGTAATAAATCCCTATCTAGGAGAGCATCATGGAACCACTTGCTTCTGGAGGCGTCAGCAGGCAGAGGCAGGACAGTTGCATCAATTTTGCCAAGGTCCCTGCAAGTCTGGCAGCCTTACCCAGCTCTCTTCTTCCTGGGTAGCCCTGGAAACAGCTTTTGAGTGGCATCTTAAGAACAGAGAAGGAAAGAGGGGGCATCCTGGCCAGATAAACCACAGGATACCCTGTTAAGTTTGGATTTCAGATCAACACTCTTTTTGAGTCTAGTACAGCACATGTAAAATTTGATATATGCTTGGTATGTGCTTATACTAAAAATGAATTCAGTGGGGGCTGGAGAGACAGTCCTTCCAGAGCACCTGTGTGGGGAGGCTTACAATCACCTGTAATTCCAGCTCCAGGGCATCCAACCTTCTGGCCTCTTTGGCACCTACACACATGTGGCATTCACTCAGAGTCACACACATACAAATAAGTGAGAACAATATAAATATACTGTCAACTATTCGTCTTTCTCAGAATTCTATTTAACTTGGTGGTTTTCTATTTTTATTACGTTTATTTATGTCCTGTGTGTGTGAGTGTACGTGTACTGTGGATGTCAGGGGACAACTGGCAGGAGCTGCTTCTCTCCTTATACCACGAGGATTCTGTGGATCAAATTCAGGTCGTCAGGCTTGGCAGCGAAAACTTTTACCAGCTGAGCTGCCTTGTGGGCCCTTTCTTTTGTTTCGCTTTTGAGACGATATCTCATACAGCCTAGACTGCCCTCTGACTACTGCACAGTGAGGGAGAACTTTGGACTCTCGATTCTCCTGCCTTCCCCTCCCAAGTGCTGGGATTACAGGCATGCACCATCACACTCCATTTTTATGGGGTTCTAGAAATGAGGGAGGGCAAAAGGGAAGAGACCTGGGAGGAGGGGGGAACTCAATGTTATGGTATCTGCACAACATGTGCAAGGTCCCAGTTCATCCCCAGCATGCGGTGGAGGGGGGCAAAGGAGAAAGGAATGAAGAGAAGAAGAGGAGCATGGGTCGTGGAGTGACCACCTCTACTGACTTCCTTGCCCGATCTGTACAGAGTACAAAGAATGCTTCTCCCTGTATGACAAGCAGCAAAGAGGGAAGATTAAGGCCACAGATCTTCTGGTGTCCATGAGGTGCCTGGGGGCCAGCCCCACGCCTGGGGAAGTGCAGCGGCACCTGCAGACTCATGGGATTGGTGAGTGGACCGTCCAGGTGGGCTTGTGAAGGGCCCAGCTGGGAGAAGCAGATGGTGGTGGTGGAGAAAGCTCAGAAGTCTGAGGTGCTGGTGGTAATGTGCCTCACCAGGACTGAACTGTAGAGGTAGCTGGCCATGTATACAGTGTTTCATTCCCAAAGGGGACCCTGGTCTGATGTCCCACCAAGTCTGTCACAGCCCCTAGGAAAGCACACTAACACTGGTCCCAGTGGCTTTTCCCCCGTTTGCTTTTATTTTGAGATAGGGTCTCATGTAGCCCAGGCTGATCTTGAACTCACCTCGTGCTAGCTCAGGGTGATACTGAGTTCCTGATCCTCCTGCCTCCACCTCCCGAATGCTGGGCTTACAGATGTGTGTTACCACACTCAGCTCCTATATTTATGGGGGAAATAGCCTTTTGCAGAGAGTTTGGCATATGCTTAGTGAAACAGCCCAGCTGTAACAAAGGCCCATAAGTGCCGCCCTCAAGGACCTTCTCCGAGTCTGAAGAAGACTCTACAAGCAGCTAAGGATCTAATCTGAGGAATATGAATCTATGCACACACACCGTGCTCTTTCAGTCCATGTCTTTATTGTTCTAAGTAAACGTCTTTAAATCTACAGCTTCTTTTCAGCTTTTCATTCTTAGCTCCTCTCTTGCCTGACTATCCTATACATTTCTAATCAGAGATTCCTTGCAATCCTGAGAAAAGTTTCAAAACCCTCAAGGTCACAGCACATTCCTAGAATAGACAGTAAGGAGCAGAGCCATTACCATGGTAGTGCAAGGTTTCAAGGTTTCAGGACCAAACAGGGAAGGCACAGCGCCCGGTGACAAACTTTGAGACATAGGTCAACTGTCAGCAGACTTGGCAAGCGAAAAACTGGCAGGCTTTTCTTAGGGCGTTTTGTGTTAGTAACCTTGGTAAGACACCTGCGACTCTGACCTTGTGTATAGCTGTAAAGTTTTAAACTTATGATCTATTTACAAAGGCCTTTAGTCTAGTTTGAACTTGCTCTGAGGTAAAAATAACCTAAAAGCGTGTAGTTTGTGTTAGACTGAGGAGAGATTATTATCTTCTGTGTTAGTCTGAGCAAAAGGAACAAAGCAGACTTTAAGTGTCTACAGTCTATGGGACAATGGATCTGGCTATGAAGCATATCCTAGTATATTTTTTATATATCGAAATTATACAGCTAAATGAAAAGCCATCTTCCTGACCACCCACATGTATATGTGATTGAGATGTAATCATGAGATTACATATATACATTGCATGAAGATGCATTGTAATGGGGAGATATCATAGTGTAATTGCACAAGAACTTTACAACAAGAAACAGCCAATTCATTCAAAAGGCAATAACTCCAACACACCTTGTGTGATGGCTTAGTCCTCTCCCAGAACCCTTGGTTCTGGTAGGTTGACCTTTTGAACACTAGTTGTCTCCTGCTGTATACTTCCATGGTCTTTTGCTACCAGCAGCTCTCAATACAGCTGTTTAAGTCTCCATGTTGTTACTGGGGAGCTGGCAATCCCACAAAAAAAAAGATCGACTACATTTGAGAAAGCTTGCTACATCTGGTGCCCAATTGTAAAAGTACCTTTCTTGTCAGGACCACCAGCTTGCAAATAACATATATTACTATTATTATTGTTATTATTTTTTAACTTTTTTATTTTATGTGCATTGGTGTGCATGTATCAGATCCCCTGACTGGAGTTACTAACAGTTGTGAGCTGCAATGTGGGTGCTGGGAATCGAACCTAGGTCTTCTGGAAGAACAGCCAATGCTCTTAACTGCTGAGCCATCTCTCCAGCCCCATGGAGATTTATTATTAATTATGAAAGCTTGGCCTTAGCTTAGGCTTTTTTCTAACTAGCTCTTATAATTTAATTAACATCTTTCTATTAATCTATGTTCTGTCACATGACATTACCTCTCTTCTCTTCCATCTTGCACCTCCTGTTTCCTCCCTGTGTCTGGCTGGTGACTCTACCTCTCTTCCTCCCAGAGTTCTCTCTCTTCCCTGAAGTCCCACCTATATCTCCTGCCTAGTTATTGGCCATTCAGCTTTTTATTATACCAATCACAGCAATACATCTTCACAGTGTACAAATATCCCACAACATTTCCTTCTTTTTGTCTAAATAAAAAGGAAAGGTTTTAACTTTAATACAGTAAACTATATATAATGAGAACAATTATCAGGTAAGAATTACATATTCCATTTCCAGCCCATTTGTATTTGGAATTTTGGAGAAAATAATCTATTGTCTATGCTATCTTGATGAGTCAAAAGTTTTTTTTGTTTTGTTTTGTTTTTTTGAGGCAGGGTTTCTCTGTGCAGCTTTGGAGCCTGTCCTGGAACTCTCTCTGTAGCCCAGGCTGGCCTCAAACTCACAGAGATCTGCCTGCTTCTGCCTCCTGAGTGCTGGGATTAAAGGCATGCACCACCACTGCCAGGCTGAATCCAAAGTTTTATACCTAAGCCATTTTCTATCATAACTTGTATTATCATCCTAAAAATATCTTTTAGACCTTAAAGCATTTTCTTAGATAAACAACTTAAGCTTTTATGTCTCTCAACTTGATGATTGTTCTTATTGTATATAGTTTTACTGTGTTAGAGTTAAAATCTTCCCTTTTTATGTAGATAAAAAGGGGGAAATGTTGTGGAATATTTGTACACTGTATGAAGATGTATTGCTGTGACTGGTGTAATAAAAAAAAAACCTGAATGGCCAATAGCTAGGCAGGAGAGAATAGGTGGGGCTTCCGGACAGAGAGAAAGAGGAAGTCAGAGGTATGAATCAAGGTGTGTGGGAAATGCCACCGGGATTCAGAATAAGTAAGAATAAGATTAAGAGGACAGGTAACTGAACTACATGATAGAACATAGATTAATAGAAAGATGTTAATTAAGTTGTAAGAGCTAGTTAGAAAAAAAGCCTAGGCTAAGGTCAAGCTTCATAATCAATAATAATCTCTGTGTTGTTATTTGCAGGTTGGCAGTCCCAATGAGAAAGTACTATTATATAGCTCCATCTGGTCCTATGCCATGATTCAATACTCTTGAGTTTCTGTTGTCATCTTAGCAAGCAAGATTGGGGGAGGGATTAATAAGCATAGTGTCCTAGGTTGTTTTGTGTTGTTTTTTCTGTTGCTATAAAATACCCTGACCAAAGCAACTTAATGATGGAAGGGTTTATTTTAGCTCATGTATCAGGTAAAGTCCATCATGGCTTGAAGCACCTGATCACATAGTAAGAAGAAGGTAGCAATGAATGTGTGCATGCTAGGACTCAGCCCGCTTCTCCACTCTGATATAATTGGGAATGGTGCCATCTATAATGGACTTGTCTTTCACATCAACTAACATAATCAGGATGGTCCCCACAGGTATGCCCACAAGCCTTTCAGTAAGGTTCTAGGTTCTGTCAAGTTGACATCAACACTATCACACATTGTTACTGAAGACTGTTGGCAGGGTGAAAAGGAGACTTTCCATCCTGGGGTCAGGAGAGCTCTGTCCCCCTTACCATGACCAGTGTCTTGAGAACTAGGTAGCCTTGGGGCTGGCTCTGACAGCCAGCCAGTTTCCTCCAGTTCACTGTGCTGTTTGGGGTTTCTAGACAAACATGGAGAGCTGGATTTCTCCACCTTCCTGACCATTATGCACACGCAAATCAAACAAGAAGATCCAAAGAAAGAAATCCTTTTGGCCATGCTGATGGCAGACAAGGAGAAGAAAGGTTACATCATGGCATCGGAGTTGCGGTCGAAACTCATGAAACTGGGAGAGAAGCTCACCCACAAAGAAGGTAACAGCCTGGCCAACTTGACTCTGAACCGTCTGGGGAGGGTTAGGGAATCTTCGGGAGGACAATGCTGTGTCCACCACCCAAGGCCGTGCAGATGGCCAATTGATGAATGGCCCAGAAGCTTGTAAGCACAAGTCAAGCTGGCTGAAGGCTGGACCGGGGCTCCAGGCAGAACCAGAGGGGACAGGCATAAGTGGGCCAGAGTAGAGGGTCAGCCCAGAGACAGCCCAGTTGGGGTCCTAGGAACGGTGGTGGCTATTTTCATGTGAACAGTTGGGGCGTCTGTCATTGAGGGTCTTGATGTGACTCCCGATGGCTAGGGATGCAGCCAAACAGAATCCTGGGCTTACTTTAAACATTCTAAGTGTTTTGTTTTGTTTAAAGAACTTTACTGTGTGGTTATCAAATATCAACTTTGTATGTGATATTCTGTCATAATGTCAAAAGGCCATGACGGGGGCTAGGAAGATAGCTTCATAGGTAGTTTGCCCCACAAGTATGAGAACCTGAGTTTGGGTCCTGGGGACCTGTGTAAAAAAAGCTGGACGAGTGTGTGTGGCTGCCTGTAATTCCAGAACTCACTCAGGAGGCAGAGACAGGATGCCAGGAGAAGCTAGCTAGCTAGACTAGTCTGAACTGTGGGCTCCAGGTTCAAGGAGACTCTGCCTCAGACAAAGGCGGAGGGCCATAGAGGAAGCTACCAGATGTCAACCTCATGCATCCACAGGTGTGCTGCACACACACGTGTGCCTCCACACGAATGAACAGGCATACCCATGTGCACACAAGCGCCACACATTGAAAGCTATGACACAGGACACACTGGCGACACCAGTGGCCCTTCAATTGATAGAAAGGGCCAACTGAGTGAGGGGCTCTTGAGTGGAGCTGAAGCAGAATGCAGGGTCCTTCATTCCCAGGGCCATCCTCTTACCTTAGCTGGTTCTCATGTGGCCACTGATGGTGTTTCCAAATTGAGAGGCCATTGTGCTCCTGCCCCCAGCAGCCCTAGGAGCTGGGGGAATGAGAGCTTTTCAGAGAAAAACTAGCTAAAGAAACCTGCCCTGGCCACAGATCAGGAGATAGTCTTGCCTATTACATTCCTTGCTTCCGAGCAGGATAAGGCATGGGGATTCTGAGAAAGCTCTAGGTACATGCGTGGGCTATTTACAGCCTTTCCAGCCTGACAGCACTGTTGGCAGCCCTGGTGCTGACACAGCTGTGGACCACGGCCTGCCCCTAACCTTCATCACTGATCTCCACAGCCAGGCTTTTTAGGTTGGCTGGCCAGCTCAAGGGCTTAGCTTAGGCACAGTGGGTTGAAAAGGACCCAATACCCACAACTTTTGGTCAGAATACAACTAACCAGTAAAAAGGTTTCAGGTTGTGATTTGAATTTGAATTTGAATCTGGGCCCTTCCTTTAGGGAGCCCTGGAATGTGACAGACATCCCTGGGGTCCTCTAAGAGCTAGCATTCTATGGACCAGCCTGCTCAGATTTTATCTGCACTCATGAAGGTCCTGAGCAAAGCCTTTAGACACAGTGCCTGGCAGGTAGATTTGTCTCCCAGTTCCTCTCAGTTGGCAGCTTTAACTGCAACTGTTTTTCATGTGAAGGGGAAAATGGCCTGCCCTTACCTCGGATTCCCATGACACTGCTGGTGGAGTGTTCTCTGAGGTGGTTAGTGATGTCTACAGTGACAGGCCCCTAGACTCCCCTCACGTGTTAACCAGCACAACACACTGAGAAGGAGCTGATGGAGACTCATCTCCCTCTTGGCTGCAGTGAAACACAAGACACCAAAAGTAGTAACTATTTCTTCTGGGGATTTGGAAGAAATGGTCTGTTCTTTTCGGAAGCATCCTGAGCATGTGTAGCACCCTCACCAGCTATCACCTGGCTGTGGAGTGCTGCCCCCTTCTGGTCAGCACTGGGCTGCGGCGTGCTGCCCTCTTCTGGTCTGTCACTGATGATGGAGCTGATCCTTGCTTGGCCTGTCCAACTGACTGGACGTTAGAAGCTTTTCCATGAAATACGATGCATCTGTCTCCTCAGGCTCAGAGCACCTATGGGTTTGAAAAGAGAGAACTACATTCTATCTATCATCTACCTATGTATCTATGTACATATCTATTTATCCGTCATGTACGTATGTATGTATGTATGTATGTATGTATGTATGTATGTATGTATCTATCTATCTATCTATCTATCTATCTATCTATCTATCTATCTACCTACCTACCTACCTACCTACCTGACAGGACCTCACTATATAAATCAGGCCAGCCTTAAACTCAGAGATCCACGTCTCTGCCTTCAGAGTTTTGTGATTAAAGGTGTACACCACGATATCTGGCTAAATTAATATCTTTTTCAAAAGCAATGCTATTTTTAGAAAGATCGCATTTGGCAGGCATGGTGGCACAGGCCTTTAATCTGAGCACTTGAGGCAGAGGCAGGCTGAGCTCTGCTGAGTTCCAGCCTGCCAGCCTGGTCTGCACAGTAAGTTCTAGGTAGTGATACCATCTCAAAACAAACAAACAAAAACCTGGTAGAATTTCAGAGAATCCATGTGGCGTGAGTTAAATAAAATGGAAAAAAAACCATCTTGTGTATGTACCAGTGTGAGGGTATGTCATATATGCAGAGGTACCCGAGGAGGGCAGAAGAGGGCATCAGATCCCCTGGGACTGGAGTTAAAGGCAGTTGTGAGCCACCTACGTGTCTACTGGGAATGAAATTAGGGTCCTCTCAAGAGCAGTTTTAACTGCTGAGCCATCTTTCCAGCCCCTGAACAATGCAGTTTGATGCTTTGAACTTCAGATGCAGTTGGATTTTTTTGCATGTACATTGACAAGATGCATTTCAAATTAAGCTAGGGATCCAACTCAAACCCAAGGTGCACATAAGCCAAGTGCTCTTGTCACCCAGCGTTCTGCAGTGAGGTGATGATGACAGAGAGCTTGTTACTCTGTCTTCTGTTGGCAGGAGGGCAGTGAAGGGAGAGGTGGGCTTATCTGGAGGAGAGGGGCAGGAGTGAGCTTGGATCAGTGTGGCTGTGTTTGGAGCTGGGGATGATGCCTGTGTGACTGGAAGGTTGCAAGGGTAGGCTGTAACGTAAAACATCCATGCTAAAGGTTTCTTGAAAGACAGACACAGAGGTCAAATGTTTCTTTAAGAGTTCCGTGATGGCTGCTGAGTCTGCTGACCTGAGTTTGATCTCTGGAACCCACATGGTAGGAGAGAGCTCCCACAAGTTGTCCTCTGACCTCCACACATGTGGCATGGACAATAACCCCCACTCCCAATAAATAAATAAATGTTAAAATTAAAATCAAGTACAAGGCAGTCTCAGTGACTGAATCCTCACCAGTATACTCTGCTATATGCTGGTCCCTGCAGAGAGTGGGAAAGTTGAACCAAGTGGTCTCTGGGGGCCTTGGAAGCAGGTTATCTTTCCTTTTATGGTTTGTGGCCCAGTCCATGGGAAAAGTCCATCAGGTTCTTAGGGAAGACTTCTGGGAACCCCTAACCTCAGCAAACCCGGATTGAAACATTAATGTGATTTATTGCAGTGGATGATCTTTTCAAGGAAGCAGGCATCGAACCAAACGGCCAAGTGAAATATGACACATTTATCCAAAGGATCACCCTTCCTGTGCAAGACTACTGAGGGAGCTGAGATCCAGGGAGCAGAGTATGAGAGCTCCAGGGCCTGACAACCCAAACTGATTAATTTTTTTAAAGGGAAATCGAAGATGGCAAACATGACGATAAGACCACGCGGCACAACTGCTGCAGGGGCTAAGTACCAATAAATGATGCAGCCATGGTATGACGCGCCTGTAATGAGAGGTCTGTACTGAGTTTAGTACTAACGTTAGTCTAGCTCCTTGCAGCATGCAAGGGCCTATGATTTGAAGTCAGGTCTGTGTGCCAGTGCTGGCGCTGCAGCTTCATTACCCTTACCTTGGGTAGACCATTGTGCTTCTCAAAGCCTTGGGATCTCAGAGGATGAAGATCATGACTTGAAAATGATTGGCAACTTGAGAGCATGTGCAACTGGCATTTCCATGGTAGTGTTTCTCCAAAAGAACAGTCTGCCAGAAGACCAGCCTGCTTTTGGGTACAAGAACCACCTTCGGCATTTCCAAGATAAGGCTAGGGTCGGCTGGGAACCGGCAATGAGCAAAGTGCATGCACACGCATGCATATACAGAGAGCAATGAGGACACACACACACACACACACACACACACACACACACACACACACACACACACACAAGGCAACAAGCACTGTGCACATAAACACAGAGCAACAAGCACAAAGCATGGGCACACAGACACACCATTTCTTACAGCTCTACAATCCCACTGACAAATCTCCATTTTCAGTTTACCAGCAGGATGCTCTTTCATAAACAGGTATAAAGTGGAAACACACATTAGAGTGAGTGCTAAGTGTAGGATCAGTGGAGTAGTGGGAAGTGATCCAACTTTATATTCCACACCAAAGGAAGTGGGAGGCCTGGCCCCTTCAGAGGCCTTGCAGAGTTAAGCAGGTCTCTGATGCTCCTGGAACAATGTGCTGAAGCTCTGTCCTGGCCATTATTAGGTTCCAGGAATTAGGATGGTCTGCTCAAGTGATCTGGGATCACTTCAAGTGACATTAAGCCACTTTCTTGGGACTAACAGAATAAGGGGATGTACCAGGCCGTGTCCAGAATCTGAGAGGCCCTGAAATCAGGAGCAGGAAGCAGTGGCTCACCCAAAAGTACCCCTGGGACACACCAACATGGGCGGGTAGAGCTCTTCAACAGGAGGCCCTTCATTCCTGTGTTAGGACGGGCTGTGGCTTTGTTCCTTAGCGAAAGCACAAAGATGTATCAAATCACGGGTGTCTCTTGGGAAGTTTGACCAGAAACACATCTTTTACTAAGGGCTAGGCTCTGGGAACACTCCAGGGGACCAAACAGTGTCAGTCTTGATTCAGCTACCTCACATACACTGTATAGCTCAGACCAAACAGAAGATCTGAGAAAGGAAGGCCTCATTTTCCTGAGAGTAGATACTATGTGTTCCCTGAGAAGCTTGATTATAGGTAACCTGGCAGATTCCTTTAATACAAAAAATAGGCTAGATAATCGTGGCATATCTCTTCAAAGAGGACTTTGGTTTGTGGCTAACATGATATACAAAGCAAAAGTCTGGGAAACATAAAAATAAAAAATGAAGAATTCTGGGCTGTTCTAGGGAGCCTGAAAGAAGCCAGAGCAATCGAGAGCAACACACGGTAAAAATCTTCATGACTCCCACAGCAAGTCCTCCTGGGGGAGGCTAGCGCTCCAAAGAGAAGGCTGTATTCCCTGCCAGATGGGAAGGTTCCAGACCCAACACCTCTGACCCCAGCCATGGACTCAGAAGCACACCTGTTGTTCACCAGTCTATAATACCAAAGACCTGACAGGTGCTCTGTGCTGATGCTGTATATGGGACAGGGTGAGGATATAGTCTGGACCCTTATAGAAGAGGTTCTTCCCAATGTGTTCTGATGTCTGTCAGCAACTGTTCTTTTTTTTAAAGATAGGGTCTCGTGGATCCCAAATTTACCTCGAATTTGTGGAGGATGCCCTTGAACTTCTGGTCCTCCTGCCTCCACCTCCTGAATGCTGAGGTAACAGGCGTGCACTGCTATGCCTCTTCTATTTGCTGCTGGGGACTGAGTCCAGTGCTTCTTCACACATGCTGGGCGAGTACTCTGCCAAATACCTCCAGCCTTCTGGTATAGCCCCCACCCCCACTCTGGCTTTTTTGGAGGCTGGGTTTCAATGTAGACAGGGTCTATGTAGCCCAGGCTGGCCTCGAACCCACAGAGATCTGTCTGCCTTTGCCTCCCAAGTGTTGGGATTAAAGGTGTGCACCACCATATCCTGCCCGCGGTCTAGTTTTAAAGCATGTTTTCTGAATCTTATTTGGCTGAGTGGAATCTCCAGTACTGCTTGCAAAGAGCACTTGGCTAATGGGCTGTCTGCATAACCTGGGCTGACCTTCCCCACTACTGCTCTCTAGTCATGGTGGCAAAGTGAGCTCAAACTCCTCAAGTCCGATTTACACAGCACCATCAGGAAAGGCTGTGGCTTCAGGGTCCCCACTTGTGCATTCCTCCAATTCCAACAGGTTTACCTAGCACCAGGTTTGCTCACTATAAATACTGGAGGGCCCAGGTGTTTGGACAGCCGATAGACAACAGATACCTTTAACATTTAAGGTGCTGTGGTTCAGTGTAGAGCTGGCTGTATTCTAGTAAGGAAAGACCTCAAAGCATGATGTGGAGATAGCAGTTACTTGTCATGCTTGGAAACCTCTGACTGACAGGGTCCTGGGAGCACACTGCACCAGCACTTTTCTCGTGGGACTCTGCCCTTATAGACCCAGCAGGAGTAGTTTACAGAACACAAATTAACTGAAGGCTTTTCTTTTATTACATCTAAAGAGCTCTACATAAACAGGTAACATTCAATAAGGAAACAACTTTTCTCCAATGCATGTAATAAATATTTTCACTTGGTACTTTTATACAAACTGACATTGGTCTACTATACATTTTTAAAAGCCATTTTACTGGTTTGGCATGCGGTATGGAAATTCTAAGAGAGAAAGTTTTAAGGCAATGAATCACAGATTTAAGTTCATGGAATTTATGGTAACTTTTATCTATTTATATACATTTCCCCTTTGTTAATAAAACAACAGCAGCACACTCTGGGACCACCAGCTATTCTCCCTCCTTCTTTGAAATCTATGCTTTGTATTTAATTAAAAAACAAAACACAGAATGCAATGTGTATCCATAAAACAAAGTTCTTACCAAAATAAATTCAAATGTGCTTTTTACGAGTCCTGAAGATCCTGAAAGTTTTATGTATTTAAAATTCAAATTGCTTTAAAAACTAGGTTCTTTCTACATTAAATCATTTACAATTGGGGTATATTTTCATTCAGTTTCACACACTTGTCCTCAAAGGAAAACTGGCCAAAACACTCCCCACGTTTTTTCAAATCACTTAAGGGATTCTTTAAGTCAGTAATGTAGATGTGTAATACCTAAATTAGCAATGGGAAAACTTTAATACTCAAAATGAATTGGTCAACCAAGTATGCATGGTTAAGTTTCATATTAGAAAATGTGTCCAGTAATGCCCACGTAGTAAATAAAAAGCCACCTCCACCCTGCTAGTTGATTAGCTACTTTACTGATGATGTGTGCCACAGATAGACAGGGGCACACACACGTACTGTACAGAGGAATGTGTACATGCTAGTAAGAAAGACTAAGGAGGGGTTCCTGTCAACTTGCTGAAGGATGCTGAGAACGAACGACATCTGTCCACAGCCTATCAAGGTTGGCAGGGTTGCGGGGTGAAAGCGGGCTCAGGAAAACGACAGAAAAGAGATGGAGTGACCATGCGCTTTTTCTTGTAAATGTAGGAGAGAAAGTAGTGCATGACTAATCATTATTAAAGATTGGGAAAGTCTCTGAACTTAACCACATGCAATGTTTTAGAAAGTCAACAGCTGAAGAAATGAACTCCTTCCTTACTACATGGAATGAACTAAAATACACAGTCAACTGATGGTTCGCTCTCCCATGGGGACATGACAAAGCCACAGGACCTAGGTTTCTCCCTGTTACTCACTCTCCCTTAGGTTGGTACAATGCAGGACGCAGAAGGAAAGCAACCCCTCCACCACTGGGCTCAAGAATGCAGAGGGCGGGGTTTCAACTGGATCGTTCCAGTTCGTAATTCAGCATCAGACACAAAAACTGCTGATCAGAATCCTAAAACCACTAACAAGTTAAAAAAAAAATCCAAGAACAAGGAAAACTACTCATTTTATCTCAGATAGTTGAAATAATAAAAATATGCTTTCTATTGCAATGTTAACAGAAACACCCACAATTTTAGTGATTCCTACTCTAGCCCCAATTTAGACACAAATTAAGACCTTATGTGAAACGAGCCTAAATTAATACAGTAATGAGAAAATCGAACGTGTACTCACCACACCAGAGGAATTTAACAACGTAACCATTTCTGGTTTGAACTGACAACAAATGCCTTGTTTTATTGCAGATTGTTTTGTGACTCTAACAGCCGTTTCTGTGTGGAACACCCATGCGCAGGGGAAGACGATGTTACTCACACATACTTGTTTATAAATACATATATACACACACACATATACATATCAACACCAACTTTTCTCAAAATTCAAGTTGACAGTTTAGTAGCAGAGACGCTATAAAAAACAGATAACATTTTTAGTTGCCACTCTGTCATGTGAACCATTTACTTTATCATACAACTGAAGATACAGTCATCTTGACTTCTACCTGGATTAATATAGGTCCTTCTGTTACTGATGCAAGGTTTAAAAACAAGTTTACTACACACAAAGGGGGGTCCTTCAACTCTGAGAACACGAAGTGGTAACATAAAATGCCAGTCTGGGAACTGGTGATGGTGTGCCCCTTCTCTGCTGAGAAACCTGCGCCCTCCATCAGCTGCCATCCATTTGCCTTCCACCGTTAAGAGCACTGCGTCCTCTCTGATGACTCTCAAGTATAAGAAGCACTTTTTCCTTCCTTTGACCCTTAATCATCTTCTGAAGAAATTGTAATATATTTACATAGTCTGCTATTGAGAGTAGATAAAACCCAATGATTCTTGAATTTAAAAAAAGGCTTCCTATGTCATGCTTGTCATTAAAAGGTGAGTAAAAAATAAACAAGGCTAAGAAAGGAAGTATACTCAGAACCAGAGAAACAAAATAACTAAGGTTATTTCTGAGTTTCAACTGTTGATCAAATAGATTTGCTACAGATCCACATGTGGGCTGCACTGTACTGTCAACTTTAGGAGAACTGAATTCTTTCTTTTTTGAGGTGGAATAATGTCCTCTGCCAGCTGCACACAGCACCCCATGGGGCTTCTAGGGCTCTTTCATATCCCACTTTGGTATGAAGATTCTCAAGGAAACTTGCTACCCTGTGGCCAAAATGCAGGTACTCACAGACTTGGCTTACATACAAAATACTGGCAATTCAGATTCAGAATCAACCCAAGTGTATCATGGTTCACAGGCCTGCCCTCAGACTAATTATCCAGGCAGCTTTTGCTCCAGCACTTCTAGGAAACACACTCCTAGGGGGTACTCAGCAGATCACGGAAGACCTGTGAGGAGAACATGCATCGGGAGAGCTGAGAAGGATGCTCACGTGAGCATTCAAGACCTCTGAAGCACTCTGAAAGAAGCAGGCAACTGATATTAACTAAATGCCAACCCAGGAGGAGAGGGGACAGTGATGACAGAATAGTACACACAGGAACACACTGAAAACACACACCCCCACGAGCTATGTCCTGAAAACAAAGGGAATGAGTGGGACAGGTGAGATTCATAACTTAAGGCTGGTAAAATCCACGCATACACAAACAGAATCCAAGTCTGATGCTTTTAAAAAATGGAAATCAAAACTATCCCAACCCCCTCCCCATAACAAAGCCCACAATTTAAAACTTCATACATGCAATTCTGTTTCTGTTATTGCAAGTAAGATAATGCCATTGAAGTAAAATAAAACCCAAACCATAGGACAAACGGTGAAAAGTCTTCAGAATCCAGAAAAAATGAACTGAAGGAGGTTTGTGGGTGCTTGTTTTTTCTTTTCTTTCTTTCCTTCCTTTTTTTTTTTTTTTTTAAACAAGTGTTTTATCAGACAGGCAGTCTTAGATTTATATACAAAAGTAAAACTGAAAATATAGTTTTGTTCTCTGTACATTTCTTTTAATTTTTTTTCCCTAAAAACAGGGAAAAAAAACCACGCTTGTGTACTTTTCTAAACAGGATAAGGTAAAACAGCACAGAGTTCTCTTCTGCCAAGTCATTTAATGTGGGACAGGGTGGGAGCAGCAGGATGAGGGCGTCAGTCCAACGAGATAATGTCTGGGATTATGCCAAAGATGGACGCTGTGTCCGCGCTGCTCCTGCTGGCCACACCATGGCCATGGCTCTCCCTCAGACTGTTGGAAGACACAAGGCTGCTGTTGCTGCCACTACTGCTTCCGTTGGTGGCTGGCAAAGAAGTGCTTCCTCCAGCACTTAGCTGATCAAGAAACATCTGCGAGGAGGTATACGGGAAAAAGCGGGAGGAGTGCAGGAGGTCCTGGTCATCTGAGACCGCTGCTGCGGCTGCGGCAAGCAGGGAGGTGTTGTAATGCTAGGAGGGACCAGAGACAAAACACTCGCGTTACAATCAGATGCACCTCGGTACTCTTCTCAGCAGAGCAAGTCCCAAGTTAGCATATCCCGAGTGTCTGGCTCCTCAAATGACAACACATTCTGCAGGAAAATGACTGCTCACTGATACTGAGAGCGCTTTGGCATGGTATCTGAAACTGGAATAACATTTTTGATTGTGTTGTGTGTGTGTTTTGGTTTGTACTGCATGCAGTTCTTAAAACTCTATTTCTGAGATGTTCAGAAGCAGCAGAAGGAGGGCCCTCTCCTCAGATACACCTCGCATTCCCACTGACAAGTTCATCCTGAGAACTGCAGCATGAAGCAGCTCAGCTGCTACCGTGCTCAGCCTGAGGCTGGCTCTGTGCAGCCCACGGCTGCTTTTAGCACTGCAGGCACCAGGCAGTGTCTGTGCACACAAGCGTGTCTGAGCTGGAAAAGGCAGGGAGAATTTGCTGTAAAAATAAGCAATGTCCCACTCGTGTGGGCGCTTCCAGAGTCGGGTGTGTGGGGCTGCAAGTGTCTCAGTCAGGGACTGCGGCTGAGTGGCTGTGAAGGCTGAGGACATTATCTCTGTACTACTGTGGGGCTTTACCATCACTCTATGCTTAGGTTACTCTACATTTATCTTTTAAAAAAAATCCCAATGCTCATCTTTTCTTTAATTAAGTACAGTTATATAACAATTTTACTTTGTTTTTAAACTTTTTCATTTTTTAAAGATTTTATAACATGTATTAATTATACACAATAATGGGTTTCACATGTATAAAATGTCTTTTGACCATAATCACTCCCTCCTACCTTCTCCTAGTCCTCTATCCCTCTAGCTGATCCCTCCTCTTCTCCACACTCTACTTCCAATGTGTATGTGTCCCAGTGTTATTTACAGAGCATGGACAACTTACCAGTGGCTAACCACTGAGGAAAAAAATGTCTCCCCCACTAAACATTAACTGCCTATAGATCTTCAGAGAGGCTGGGGCTCCCTAAGCCCTTCCAACTACTTTATTCTTTATAATAACACTTACAACATGAATAGACCGTATAGCTGTGCAAAAACATTCTTTCATCATCTCTATACCCTATGAGATCTAATTATGTATTCTGCTGAAAAGTAAGACAAAAATATACATATACTCCTAGGTCTACATAGGCCAGGGCTAAGTATCACTATCTTCTAGGCACATCTTGTTTCCTGGAAGGTTTTCAGGGCAGGGACAATGCCTACTTCTGGATCCCTCCTGATGACTCACTAGAGCTCATCCTAAGCAGGTGCCATTCTCCCGAAACATGCTGTGGTGCTTTGCTTGGTCTGTCCCTTTCCATCTGAGATGTGCTTGTGAACAGTGCAACACAAACACTCTCCTTCTCTGACGCTCTGTTCTCAGGCATCAAAGGGGACTGCTGATGTCTGCAGAAGTTCCGCTAGCTCCTTTATGAAACTTCTTGGGGGCTCCTTCTGTCTCCAGTTCCCCTTTCTTTGCCTGCTTTTCAGTTCCAAGGCTTCCACAACAGTTTCCTTAGGAACCTCTCTGGGGCACCTCAGTGTCACACATACCATTTTGGAGTTACTACAGCATTGCTTTGCAACCTT